TGGCAAGACTATCCTTTCCCTATTGAATGGTCTTTGACCATATATTTAAAAGTCTGTTTCCAGTCTCTATTCTGTTCTTTTGGTTTCTATGTCTGTCTTTATGCCAGTACAGTACTGTTTTGATTACTATCACTTTGTATTAAGTTTTGAAATCAGGAACTATGAATCCTCTTTGTTCTTCTTTTTCAAGGTTGTTTCGTTATTCTGGGTGTTTTGATATTCCATATAAACTTTAGCATGAGATTCTCTATTTGCAAAATATATCATTGGGATTTTGGTAGGGATTGCATTGAATTGGTAGATTACTATGGGTAGTATTGACATCCTAACAGTATTAAGTCTCCTAATCCATAAACATGAGATGTCCTTCCATGAATTTGTATCTTCTTTAATTTCTTTTAGCCGTATTTTGTAGCTTTCAGTATTCAAGATTTTTGTCTCTCAGTCCATTTTGTGCTGCTACAACAGAATACCTGAGACTAGGTAATTTATAATGAACAGAAATTTATTGGCTCACAGTCTTCCTTTGCATCCTCCAAAAGGGAGGAAAGCTTTGTTTTCACATGGCAAAAGGTGGAAGAGCAAAGAAACAAATAAGGGCTGAACTCACCCTTTTATAATGGCATTAATCCAACCCATGAGGAGAGAGCCCTCATGGCCTGATCACCTCTTAATACTGTTACAATGGAAATTAAATTTCAACATGAGTTTTGGAGGAGACCAACATCTGAACCATAGTAGCCTCCTTGGTTAAGTTTATTCCTAAGTATTTTCTTCTTTTTGATGCTGTTGTGAGTGGACTTGTTACAATAACAATGAACAATCAGAAAAGAAAAACATCTGTCTAACTCACATGGCCAAAGCCAGAAGGGGGAAGTATAACCGCTCTCTCATGGGAGGACACTGTCAAGTTGCATGGTAGAGGCAGCGGATACATGAAGGAGTGAAGAATTGGATCATATAATACTACATCCCATACTGAGCTTCCAGGGGTCCATTTTTAGGTTTATCTTTTTAGAACCTTCCCTTCCAAATAGTCTGCTCCTACCCTCTCACTACTACCTCACTACCTCAGGAAAAACAAAAATGAAGGGGAAAAAAGTAAGTGAGCAAAGAAACAAAGGAGGTGGCAAGGTGCCCAGCTGAACAAGTAGCAGGTATGGGGGAAAGAACGCAGTCCAGGAGTCAGGTAGAAGGCCTGCTGCACAGTCTCAGGAAGGTCTCCTAACCTCTCTAGGCCTCAGTTTCTTCCTCTGGTGGTGAACTAGATGATTTCTAGGGATTCCCCATCTTGTGTAAATTTTAACAGTTCTATCCCTGGATTCACAAACAAGAAATATTGGACCAGGTGTGGTGGCTCACATCTGTAATCCTTGCACTTTGGGAGGCTGAGGCGAGCAGATCACTTGAGGCCAGGAGTTCAAGATCAGCCTGGCCAATCTCTACTTAAAAATATGTGTGTGTGAGAGAGAGAAATTATCTGGGCATGGTGGTGCACACCTGTAATCCTAGCTACTTGGGAGGCGGAGGTTGCTGTGAGCTGAGATTGCACCACCACACTCCAGCTTGGGTGACAGAGCAAGACGCTGTCAAAAAAGAAATGAAACATTAGAAAACCCCTTCTCTCTGTAGATGCATAGGCACCCACCCACACATCCACAGAGGGTAGCCACCTGTCTTAGTCCAGTCAGGCTGATGTAACAGACATATCATAAAAACTAGTGGCTTATAAACAAAAGAAAATTGTTTTTTACAGTTCTAGAGTCTGGCAAGTCCCAGATAAGTGCAGCAGCAGATTAATTGAGGGCTTGCTGTCTGCTTCATAGATGGCAGCTTCTCAATGTGTCCCACATGGTGGAAGGGCCAAGGCAGCTCTCCAGGGCCTCTTTTATGAGGACACTAATCTCATTCATGAGGAAAGAGCCCATGTGATGGAATCACATCCCAAAGTCCCCACCCTCTGAAACCATCACCTTGGTGATTAGAATTCAATATGAATCTAGGGGGTACACAAACCCTCAGACCATAGCACCATCTTTGTGCCTCATATCTCATCATTTCCTGCCTTGCATCTACAGTTTTGAGTGTGTTTTCTAAAAATCTTATACCAGCTTGGGATCTCCCTGGAAGAGGGAAGATAGTCTTAATTATCTTATCTTAACTCTCCCCAGAGCAGTAGGTACCAAACAGATATTTTTTCTAAGTGAACTGAGGGGAAAAAAACTTCAGATTCTTTAATTTTCGATGACTTAATGCGTTTTACATATCCAAATAAATTCTCTGTAAGTTGCTGGGGCACCAGAGCGAACACAGCAAATACCCTGTCCTTCCAGGAATTTCTCTCACAACTGCAACCTGTTTATCTTACTGATTCTACACTACAAAGTCTTAGGTAAACATGATGATATCTGAGTTTATTATATCAAAATATGTTTGATGGCTCTGTAGATATGTATAATATTGTACATGTCCAGCGCAGGCTTTGCAAAAGCCTTCAGAAGACAAAGCCTTATGCAGAAAAAAAGATCCAGGTTTAAAATTGTGTTCCTAGTCTCTGACGAAAAAAATTTTGACTGGAAAAATCACATAACAAGAAAAATGAGGGAATATGATACTTTTACCAATTCAAGTTTGTTTCTTAACTATTACTATATAGTATGGTATTTTTTTCCCAACATATTGTATTTGAAGAAGGAATTTGTCAGAAAAAAAAAAATCACTCTAAGAACTACTTATCTTGAAAACACTGTTCAAGGAATGAAGATTAACTGTATCATTATTTTAAAGTTAGTATGGGGACATAAACAGAAATAGGTACTTTTGTTATCCAATAATTTTACTTAATTGAATGAATTATAGTCACCCTCCTAGAACTTCAGAGAATAAAAACATCTCCTGTTCACTCAGGAATGGCAACTATAATAAAAATGCCATGGACAAGGCCACATTGTGTGTACAGTTTCTAAAGCCACAAAGACAGTAAACCAGTGCACCAGGAATGTGTTCCTTATGGCTTTACTAAGGCTTTCTTCTTTTCCTCTCCTCCTAGGCTGCCCCATCACAGGTCACCCTGTCCCTAATATCACCTGGTTTCATGGTGGTCAGCCAATTGTCACTGCCACAGGACTGACACATCACATCTTGGCAGCTGGACAGATCCTTCAAGTTGCAAACCTTAGCGGTGGGTCTCAAGGGGAATTCAGCTGCCTTGCTCAGAATGAGGCAGGGGTACTCATGCAGAAGGCATCTTTAGTGATCCAAGGTAAGAAACGCTGCAGGCTTTGCAAACTGGACTAATTTCTTGAACAAGAAAGCCCGTTTGGGAATCTAACTATCTAGTAAAACAAAGTGATTTCTGATCTTCAGTGGTACCCAGGGCATGAAAACCGAAGCTGCGCCATGTTTCCATACAGTGAGACCCTACTTCTGTCAACATGGCTCTTCAGAACAGCCATCATGCCCCTCCCAGCAGAACCTGGAAAAGCCAATGCTGCCTTCAGAAATAGGCCCTTCTGCTTATAATGTTGCTGTTGCTCAGGACCATGGAAACACCACTGTGTATCAAAGTCAGATGTGATTCCTTTATGCTGATTTAACTAGTACAGATCTCACACACACGCAGAGTAGCCTGTTTGGTTACTGCCTCCTGCCTAGAGAGACAGGCCTGGTGCCAGTGCCTGCTGATCATCCTGAAGAGTCTTCAGCTTTAGTCATAAGCTGAGGGCTTTCCAGGCACCTTTCCTTTGGCCCTGGCAAAGAACAGACTGCGAAGCCCACATGGCTCATGCATTAACCTTCCAGGAAAACAGGCATGTCAGAAAGCCTTTGGGCGGGGCCTGGCCTTCACTGCACCAAGAAAGAGTTGTAAATGAGGCCAAATCAGTGGGAAAGAGGGGAAAGTGGCCTTTTTATAGAAACTGGGTGAGGCTTTGGAGTTTTCCGCAGGCTAGTTCAACCTGTGGCCTGTGTGTGATATATTCCAAAATGAAGGATGCAATGGGAAGGGACAGAGCTGTGTGCCAAAATGGCACAAAAAGATGGAGAAAGGGAAATCTTTCTAAGCAGATAAGTTTTCTTCCTAAATATCTTCCTTCACCATTTGGCTTTTCAGACAGGAAAACAAATGTTCCATTTTCTCGCCAGCCAGCCAGTATCTGCTGAAAACCAGAAGCCAGGGCCTATTTGCAAGACGTGTAATACACAACTTTGCAAATAAGCACTCAAAATCTGCCACCTCATATTTATTTTTAACAGCTTTCCTATCAGTGAGTCCCAGACCCCCAAAGCAACTGGCTTTCTTACTGACATCATTGTCTCATGTAAATAAGCACTCTCTGTATAGGCTTTTTTGGGTAATATTTGCAAAGTCCAGCTCGAATCTGTACTGTGATGGTTAAGTATTTACTATATTTACATATCTTTGTAGAAAACAAAATCACTTTCTGGTGAACCAATGAGGAAAGAAAAGGACTGTAGCAAATATCTTTAAAAATAAGATGACCTATGGCATTAATCAAGTACCCTTCGTATGTCAGGCACTGAGCTACTTTATTTCCTGTCCCCACAGTAACTTGGTAAGGTGAGGGTCACTGTACTCATTTCATGGCTGAGGCCCCTAGAGACCACGTGACTTCCCCAAATAGTTCGGGAATGGTGCCCATCGAGGAGCGGGGCCTCATTTATAATAGCTCCTCTCCTTCAGGCCACAAATCCACCCCTTCCACCCTCTCCCTGCCCTGCTCAGAAGGAATTCAGAGTGTGGGCAATTAAGCTATATTCTTTTCTACTCTGCTCCTCCTCCCATGACAGATTACTGGTGGTCTGTGGACAGACTGGCAACCTGCTCAGCCTCCTGTGGTAACCGGGGGGTTCAGCAGCCCCGCTTGAGGTGCCTGCTGAACAGCACGGAGGTCAACCCTGCCCACTGCGCAGGGAAGGTTCGCCCTGCAGTGCAGCCCATTGCGTGCAACCGGAGAGACTGCCCTTCTCGGTGAGTGCGGCGGACACTGGCTCAGACCTCCCCACCCTAGGATGGGCCCTCACTTTTAGCAAGGTCGATGGCGAGCCCTTGAGTAGCACTGTGCAGGGAGAGATGCCAGCCAAGGAGCTGTTCTTCCCTCTAGGCACAGGCTTGTCAGGCCTCTCCACCCTGCTGAAAATATCCTCAGACTACACCACCTCTCTCAGCTCTGTTTATTCCTCACCCCGCTAATGGTCAACTAGGTTTCCCAAGTGCCTGACAGGGTCTGTTCAGGGAGCAAGAGCATCCCAGGCCCTAGCAAGCCATCGACTCCCCCACCCATCATACAGTAATCAACTGACTCGGAGTTGTTTGGAGAAAGCAATGTCTTTTCAATTGAAGGGCTGAGGAAACAATGATTACTGGGCTCCACCCGCCCTCCAAGTCTAACCTTAAACACCCGTGCTAATCAGTACTCCAGTTTAGTTGGGGAAATCTTATCTTCCTCTTTTCTACAAAGGCTTGCATCTCACAAATCTTTGTTTCCGATAGTAGCCTCATGCTCAGCATTTGGGTTCCTTGTGTGGCCCAGCATGACACCCAAAGCCTCTGCCATCTTCCTCATGCTTCAAGAGGCTATGAGTCCCCCTGTGCACCCCATCCTCTGTCCTCAGCAGTAGTTAAGTGGATAATAGATGGGCTTGGAGTTGGCACTGGTGTGGTGCTCAGAGCCTGGGGGGACTTGGCTCTGCCCTCAACCCTCAAATGCCCCTTTACTACCTATCTGTAGGACTTTCATACAATACTTAGGCAACTGCTTTCTGTTTTGCCAGCTGAGTCATAAGGAGCAGCTGAAACCAGGAGAGACTCAATGAAATATGAAACATGCTCATTAATATCAGCAGTTTGACTTGCTGACGGGAAGGTTTCCACAGGAATGATTAATGTCCTTTTATACCCTTCCTGAACTGTAACATACCCCGGCCCTTTCCATGCTCAAACCCCCCACCCCAGCTCCTGAAAAATTGCTGAAACGTATATTTGGAAATAAAAGTTGATTGAAATGCAGGCCTGACATTCACCAGGGATATAAGAGGCTGGAAAACTGCCCTTGCCAAGCCATGCAAAATGAAGAAGAGATCTCTGACGTGCCAGGAACTTTTTGACTTGATTTGGTGATGGTCAGAGTCAATCAGCTTAATTTACTTCTGCAAATGAAATAATAATGGCTGTGTTTTCTTGGATTTCAATGCCCCCAGGAGTTTTTAAACACCTCTTGCCTGCTTCCTAAGTGGCTCTGCTCCTGTGCGTTGGAAATCTGCATGCAGTCATCCCTCTACAAGGCAAAAGAACAGGGAAGTGGCCACAAAACTAAATAAGTCACAGATCCAGATTTAGGAGGAATTTGCTCCCCTTCCCTGCTACATGCCTCTCCTGAAAGCCAGATGTGGCGCCGCTTGGCTAGGACGTAGCCATAGGTTCACTTTGCCTGCCAGATGTTTTAAACACTTAGTATCCTTCTTTGCACATGAACAAGTGTTGCCCTGGTTGTCTCTTTAAGATACAACTGGGTAACCCTGCTGTGACCCAGATAGCTGCTTTAACCATTTTGTTAGATAAATTTTCTCAAGCACTAAAACCAAAGAGTGGGATTTTTTTTGTTCTAGATTACATGAGCAACAAGTCTTGCAATTTCCCAAGCTGTCTCTGTCTCTTTGAGAATTATTACAGGGCACACACATGCAATGCGAATCCCTGCATGTTTGTATATGGACCAAGGATTTCAGAGTGTTCCCAGTTTACAGGCTGGCTTTGTGAGAAAAATCCATTTGTCACAGTCTCACTTTTGGAACCTAACATTCAGAGAACAACTATCTCTACCACGTATGCAGCCCTCTGAGAGGTATAAGACCTATAGACTATAACACCAAGAGATGGGAGGAACTTTACCTGTTTCTGAGGGATTGACCAAAACGTGTGGCAGGAAGTACACTGAGCACTACCAGACAAAACTTTGACTTCAGTGAGGCCCAGATTACTTTCTGTGTCAGGAGGTGACACAAATTTGGATCTGACTTCCCTAGAACCTTGGATCTCCTTTAGGAAGTACCAACACTGCAGTTACAAAACAACAAATTGATTCTCTTACAATTTTGAAGGCCAGAAGTGCACAATCAAGGTATCTGGAGGGTCATATCACCTCCAAAGGTTCTAGGAGAGAATCCGCTTCTGGTGGTCCCAGGTGTTCCTTGGCTTATGGCCACATCACTCCACCTTCAGCCTTTCTGGTCACATTATCTCCTCCTCTTCTCTGTATGTAATCTCCCTCTGCCTTTCTCTGTAAGAACACTTGTTATGGCAGGCATATAGGGCCCAGTCAGATAATCCAAGATAATCTTATCTTAAATCCATAATTACATCTGCAAAGAACCTTGCCACATAAGGTAACATTCACAGGCACTAGGGATTTGACATGGATATCTTTTGGAGGAGTCATTTTTCAGCCTATCTTTCCAAGTATATACTGTGAAAAGGGTACTGGCCCCAAATCAGTGGCAAGAGCAGGGATGTGGGGTGGGGAGGGGATCTCTTTTCCCCAGGGCTTGTCCCTTTAGGGCTCTCCTGACACTTCTTCCTCTCCCCAGGTGGATGGTGACCTCCTGGTCTGCCTGTACCCGGAGCTGCGGGGGAGGTGTCCAGACCCGCAGGGTGACCTGTCAAAAGCTGAAAGCCTCTGGGATCTCCACCCCTGTGTCCAATGACATGTGCACCCAGGTTGCCAAGCGGCCTGTGGACACCCAGGCATGTAACCAGCAGCTGTGTGTGGAGTGGGCCTTCTCCAGCTGGGGCCAGGTGAGGAGCCAGAGAGGTTGTTATTTGAAAGCCAAATCTAAAGGAGTGGACGCTGCCACAGTAGGAAGTGAAATGTTATCACTGCCACCTCCTCCTTTCACATTCTGACTGGCCAGGTATAGCTTTTGTTGGTTGTCCAGCTGAGACACCCTCAGAGCAGCAGGCTTTTAATTCTTTGTGTAATTCTATGAACCAATGTGATTGAATGTTTTTAGGCAGTTAGCAATTCAAAACATCTTCTAATTGGCCATCTATACATTATTACATTTATGTCCTCCACTCCCACCCTTAGGTGTGTCCTTTGGAAAACAATCACTTGCAACTTTCTATTAAGTTAACACACTGTGGCCATCTTTAACGAAAATCAAATGTCTTTGGCCATAGAGTTCACGTTCCAACTCATAAGCCATTTGTGTCCCAGGTAAGTTGAGGCTACTGCTCAATGCTAGCCAATCAACATGCCTAACTGGAGACTCCTTTCTGGAGCTTCTACTAACCCTTCCTTATTTCCAGTGACATAATGTATATGCTTCATAATCAAAGAGGCATGAGCTCCCCTTGCCTGGGGGAATATCATCTCTCTCTTACCTGGAAAAGCCCACTTCTCATAGCTCACATACCTCTCAAGACAGCTCTGCTTCCAGGCCCTTGAGGCTTATTGGTAGTTCATAAAATTACAATAGCAAACAGATCTGGCTACACATGAGAGATGTTTCTGCACTGTGTCATCAAGGTCACTCAAGGGGGGACATATGGTGCACCAGTGATTGTTTCCTAACAGAAAGAAAAATACATATGTCTTTCTCCTTTTCTCTATTCCTTCCCCTCAAAAAAATTCACCCCCTCCTCCTCTTTTCTGCAACCCTCCAGGACAGTATGTTTCAAGCTTTAATGTGAATCACCTGGGAATCTTATTAAAGATGCAAATTCTAATATGGTATGTCTTAGGTAGAACTTGGGTTGCTGAATTTCTCAAAACTTCTGGTAACATCAATGCTCTTAGACCAAGGGCTTCACTTGAAAGAGTAGCAAGGCTTGAGGCATTACAGATTGCAGACAAATGCTTCATCTCACAATCCTGTTGATGTCTCTCTGCTGGTAATATTGCTGATATTGTGCTTCAAACTGTAGATGCTTCTCAAAACATCCACACTCCACTCCTGTGAGAATGAAAGTGATGATAGTTTCTAACAAAAAATTCCTTTTGGAATAGTGTTAGACTTCATGAAGGCAGGCAGAAGGAAAAACATTTGTATAAGAAAACCATGCCGATTTTAGTCCAAGTAAAACTAAGACCACCTTCTTAGCTCCAAAAATCTGGCTTCATGTAATAATTCGACTTTCTTCTTTTAATCCAACATACATTTATGGGACACCTGTCTTGGGAGGGGAATGTGTCCCATTTATAAGCATGTGTGAAGAAATGAAGGGAAAAGCAGCCCACAATGTTTGCAGGAGAATGAAGTGACAGAATAGAAATAGAAATGTGGCCTGGAAAGCAGGTGCAAGATCATAAAAGGGTCTTGTATGCTGTACAAAGAATTTGGATTTTATTGTAAGTGCAACTACAAAGATTTTTAAGAAGGAGTGGCACAATCAGACTTTTAAGATTACTGTCTGGCCAGGCACAATGGCTCATGCCGGTAATCTCAGCTACTCAGGAGGCTGAGGCAGAAGGATCACTTGAGAGGTTGAAGCTGCAATGAGCTGTGATCACACCACTTTCACTACTCCAGCCTGGGTAACAAAGCAAAAACCTCTTTTTTTTTAAAAAAAAAAAAAAAAAAAAGTATGCTGTCTGCAGTATAGTGATCAAATTGGCAAGTGAAGGGACTACAGAAAGAGAAACCTAATCTAGGTGAGCAATTTTGGTAGTCAGAATGAAGGTATTGAGCAGTGCCAACAGAGAGGAATCCATTTCTCTTTATAAGTGTGATTCACATGGCTTCCATGAGCCATTGGATATCAGGGATGAGAGAAAGGAAGGAAGTCAAAATTTTACTGGAGGGTCTGAATTGAATAACTAGATAGGAATATAGAAAAAAGAGGGTGGATTAGTGCTATATGGAATTGTTTGGGACATGTTTATACCTAAGTACAGATGCTCATTAAGTAGTTGCACATATAGGTCTGGGGCTTAAAAGAGAACTGTGCTAAACACTATCAATTTGAAAGTCATTAGTATACAAGTGGTGGCTAAGAATCATAGATGGTATCACCCAGAGAGAGGGAAAGGATCAGATTAAGAAAAGGCACAGGACAGAACCCTGGGGAAAACAACACTAATTAACCTGGGGGAGGAAGAGGAAAAAAGATTAACCTAATGAGTGGGAAAATTCACAGAAACCAGTGGAGGAGCTTTATCAAGAAGGAAGGAAGTCAATGGTATAAAAATACATCCAACAGAATAAACAAAATACAAAATAAGCATTGGCCTTATTTTGTATATACAGTGCATATTCGAACTTGACTGATAGGCAGTCACTGGTAACTCTGTGAATGGCAGTTTCAGTGTAAAAGTAGGCACTGAAATCAAACCAGCAATAGGTTTAGTTACAAATGAGAATGGAGGAAATAAGTGCTTCCAGGGACACATTACTCCTTCAAGAATTCCCAGTGTAGTCAAGAGACATTAGCAAAATGGCAAATTAGGAAGCTCCAACTCCAAGTTCTCTTATGGAAGCATCAAAAAAACAACTAGAAACTGGCTGAACTAACCTTATAAGTGTTCTGGAAAACCGCCCAAGTTCTATAGCAACCAAGTAAACAGCCAATAAAGAAAAAGCCATCTTTAAGATGATATGAAATTTCCTGGTATTTTCATTTATCCTTGCCCCACTCCTCCTCCATGTGGCATGGTTTTGATCTTGCCAACGTAGCAGCCACTAATTGTGAAATCTGCACAAGGACCACAGACCTGCAGACACCTGGGAAAAAAGATTATGGGTGGAGACATGGGGGAAGGCAGAGCATCAAGACAAATAACTGAAGGATGCTGGGCTTACTACCCAGGTGATGGGATGGTCTGTGCAGCAGACCACCATGGCACACGTTTACCTATGTCACAAACCTGCACATGTACCCCAGAACTTAAAAGTTGAAGGAAAAAAAAAAGAAATATCAAAGACTTGATAATGTAAAAATATACGGACAGCCAAAAACAAAAGAGTCTGGTGCCTCCCTCCCTTCTCTTACCCTGTGACAAGCCAGCTCCTCTTGCCTTCCTCCATGATTGTAAGCTTCCTGAGGTCTCACCAGAAGCAGTTGCTGGCACCATACTTCTTATACTACCTGCAAGATCATGAGCCAAATAAACCCTTTTTCTTTATTTAAAAAAGAAAAAGAAAGAAAAATTATAACGTCCAGAAAGAAAAAACTATCAACCAAGAATTATCGGGCAAAACTGTCCTTCAAAAACAAGGGGGAAATTATGACATTCCAGAGAGCTTGTTACCACTATTCCTGATTACAAGAGATGTTAAATGGAGTCCTTTGAGTTATAACAAAAAGATGCTAGATAGTTAACTCCAAGCCACATGAACATATAAAGACTCTCCAATAAAGATAAATAGATGGGCAGGCATTAAAACCATTATTATTTTGTTTCATAGCTCCACTTATTTTCTATAGATTTCAAAGAAATGCATAAAAAGTAATTATAAATCTGTTAGTGAATATATAGCATATAGATACAATTTTCACACCAATAATGTAAAGTGGGGATGGGAAACAGAGCAGTACATATGTAGAGTTTTGTATGAAATTGATATCAAAAATCAAATTAGATTGTTATAACTTTGGGATATTATATGTAATCCCCATGGTAACAACAAAGAAAATATGTATAGCCAAAAGAGAATGAGAAAGGAAGCAAAATTTGTCACTACAAAAAAGCAACTAATCACAAAAGACAACATAACTGGAGGGAATGATGAGGGAAAGCTATAAGATGTACATAAAAATAAATAATAAAAAGGCAAAAGTAAGTTCTTCCCTATCAGTAATTACTTTAAAGGAATTAAACCCCCAAAGACACAGATATTGGCCTAGTAGATGTTAGAAAAAAGACATGATTCAACTCTATGCTGTCTACAAAAGACTTGCTTGAGATCTAAAGAAAAAAGTAGGTTAAAAGTGAAGGAATGGAAAAAGATAGTCCATGTAAATAAAAAACAAAAGCTGAGGTAGCTATACTAAATCAAACAACATAATGATAATATACCAAGAAAATATAACAATTATAAACATGCATGCACCAAACATCAGAGCCCCAAAGTATATTAATCAAATATTGACAGAATTGAAGAGAGAAATAATTAGTTCTATAATAGAAACTTTAGAAACCCACTTTCAACAATGGATAGGACAACTAAACAAAAGAGCAGTAAAGAAACAGAGTAACTGAACAATACTATAAACTAATTGGAGTAACAGACATACAGAGGACTCCACCCAATATAGCAGAATACTTGTTTTTTCTCAAGTGCACATGAAAAATTATCCAAAAAAGGACTGTATGTTATGCCAAAAAATAATTCTTAATACATTTGAAAAGAATGAATTTATACAGAGTTCCTTTTCCAACCACAGGGAAGGAAACTAGACAAGTGAAAACAAAACCACAACATACCAAAATGTATGGAGCACAGAGAAAATAGTGCTAAGAGAAAAATTTATGGCTGTAAATGCTTACATTAAAAAAGAAAGACTTCAAATCAACAACTTAACTTTACACCTTAAAAATTTACAGAAAACAAGCAAACTAAACCTAATGCTAGCAGAAGAGGATAATAAAGATTAGAGAATAGTAAAGAAAACTCAGCAAAACCGAAAGTAAATTCTTCAAAAAGGTTGGCCAAAATAGACAAACTTTTAGCTATATTGGCAAAGAAAAAGAAAGAAGACTCAAATTCCTAAAATCAGAAATGAAAATGGAGACATTACTACCAGTATTACAGAAATAAAAAGGATTGGCCAGGCATGGTGGCTCATACCTGTAATCCCAACACTTTGGGAGTCCGAAGCAGGCAGATCACTTGAGGTCAGGAATTCGAGACCAGCCTGGCCAACATGGCAAAACTCTGTCTCTGCGAAAAATACAAAAGTTAGCCAGGTGTGGTGGTGGTGGGTGCCTGTAGTCCCAGCTACTTGAGAGGCTGAGGGTCAGGAATCGCATGAACCAGGAGGTGGAGGTTTGCAGTGAGCAGAGATCATACCACTGCACTCCAAGACTCTGTCTCAAAACAAAAAGAAAAAGAAAAAGAAAAAGAAACCAAGTGTTAATCAAAAGTAGAATGGAAAATTCAATCATGGTATGTTCATAAAATAAAGTGCTATACATCAGTGAAAATGAACAAACTTCAGTTATGTACATAATACATTGTAAGAAAATACCAGATATAAAACAAACATGAAATATGGTTCATTTATGTAAATTTCAAAAACAGTCATAAACTAAACTGTTTTAAAAGTTAAGTCTCTGTGGTTACATGTGGAGAAGGGAAAGAGAGTAAAGAGTAGGCACAAACTAGGCTCCTGAGTTGCTGATAGCATTTTATTTCTTCACGTGTATACAGGACTAGCTACATAAGTTGTGGGGCCCATTGCAACATGAAAATGTCAGGCTGCTTGTTCAAAAACTATAATGAATGTCAAGGTTGACAGTAGAGCGTCAAACCAACTACAGTTTCCTTCTAAGGGTGTAGGGGCATCCATGCAGCTAGCTTTGCTTTTATACAGTTGTCCCTTGGTATCCATAGGTGATTGATGTAAGGAGCACCTGTATATACCAAAATCCACACAAACTCAAGTCCTGCAGTCAATCTCACAGAACCTGCATATACAATAAGTTGGCCCTCCATATACATGGGTTTCGCATCCCAAGACCTTTGGTTGGGAAAAAAAAAAAAATGTATAAGTGGACCTGCCCATTTCAAACCCATGTTGTTTAAAAGTCAATTATACTCACTTTATAGAACTCCCTGAGATATACTTCATGTTTTAATCACTTTTTTTTTTTTTAGAGATGGGGTCTCACGATTTTGTCCAGGCTGGAGTGTAGTGACTGTTCACAGGCATGATCATGGTGCACTATAGCCTCAAATTCCTGGGCTCAAGCAATACTCTTGCCTCAGCCTTCTGCATAGCTGGGAATACAAGCATCAACCACCACACCTGGCTGTTAATCAGTTTTCTGTATGCACACTGTGCTTCACAATAAAAAGTTATTTTTTGGCCAGGCACAGTGGCTTACTCCTGTAATCCCAGCACTTTTGGAGGCCGAGGCAGGCAGATCACCTGAGGTCAAGAGTTCAAGACCAGCCTGACCAACATGGTGAAACCCTATCTCTACTAAAAATACAAAAATTAGCCGGGCATGATGGCATGTGCCTGTAGTCACAGCTACTTGGGAGGCTGAGACAGGATAATCACTTGTACCTGAGAGGCAGAGGTTGCAGTAAGCCGAGATTGTGCCACTGTACTCCAGCCTGGCGACAGAGTGAGACTCCATCTGAGAAAAAGGAAAAAAAGTTCTTTAAAATATGTTTAAAGAGATAAATTTTAGCCACTCAGGAGGCTGAGGTGGGAGGATCACTTGAGCCTAGGAGTTGAAGGCTGCAGTGAGCTGAGATTGTGCCACGGCACTCCAACCTGGGCAACAGAAAGAGAACCTGCCTCAAAAAAAAAAAGCCCGGTTATTGGTGTTAAGGGTTTTTTTTGTTTGTTTTTTTTGTTTTTTTTTTTACATTTACCTCAACCCTCCATGTGTTTGTGAATAATAGTGTCAAATTGGACCCTTCAGAGTCCAGAAGAGCAATAACTAACCTTGGGCACAGCTGTCTGACCCAAGAGAGCTACTTTTACCTTAAATCCTGCTCTTTCAGTGGTTCTTAATCTTTGAGGTCATGGATCCCTTTGAGTACGTGATGAAAGCTAGAGGGAACCTCTTGCTAGAAAAAAGCCAATAAACACAAAACTTTTGCTTATACTGTTAAGGATTAACACCCCAGCACCACCCCCAGTGGAACTCTAGGGACCCAAAGACCCCCAACTTAAGAGCCTTTGTTCTCAAGTGACCTCCATGGGATGCCTATCCTCTTGTTCTACAAAAATAGCAGATGTTGGCTAAAGGCCTGCTGCTTTTGTATTTCACAGACAATTGTTGCTAAGTGTATTTACTGTGACAGGGTCAGGCTCCATGAATTCTGGGGAAAGTTTAACGATCTCCATGAGCACACAGCAAGAGAATATGAGGGGGGACTCTGCATACCTAAGTCTGCTTTCTGTTCAGTCATCCTAGGTTTAACCTGCAGAAAACGAAGCCAGGGAAAGAAAGGATGGAGTTGGTTATTTGGATGACTTTAGCAAGAAAACGATAAACCATATTACCCTCTCTGCTCTGAAGGGGTGGAGCTATTTAGGGGTCTTCAGTTCTAAAGTCTACCACCACATTCCTAGCATATTATGCCAAAATATCTTTCATATAATCTGAGAGGGGCTTGACTTTCTCTTACTGGTTGTACACTACCATTAGCCATTTGCTGGCAGAATACCCAGAATACAGACCACAGGCAAGCTAACCATCCCATAAAGAAAACTTATCAGTGAATGTCTTTTAGTTAGCCCAAAGAGGGGAAAGATGAATGGTCTGAGAGCCTCCAACAAGACCTACACAAGGATCTTGCATCCCATGCAGCCCAAGCGTGACGGCCTCCACCCTTGACTTGGCTAATGTGCTGTATGTTACCTTTTTCTGCTTTCCAGTGCAATGGGCCTTGCATCGGGCCTCACCTAGCTGTGCAACACAGACAAGTCTTCTGCCAGACACGGGATGGCATCACCTTACCATCAGAGCAGTGCAGTGCTCTTCCGAGGTAAGAGAAAGCCCTGAATCTCCTTTTCCCAGCCCCGCGTCAACGGCTCGGAAAGATGGTGCTGAGTGAATGTTTCTCCTCCAACTTACCACAGACCTAAGCCCTGCCCTCTCACCTCCATTCACCCCAAGCCACTGGCCTCCCCAGAGGCAGATGACTCGGTGTCAGTCTTGTGCTTACCTAATGGGCTAGGCTGGGATTTTCTCTCTCAGGGATGAAAAGTGCAAGGGTGTTATTCTTCTGAGAGAGGCCTCATACCTCGAGAGACCCACACTAGCCCCAGGGTGGGCAGGAGGTGAGGTCTACACAACGGCCACCAAGTCTCAAAGGCTCAAACCCCTCACTCTTGTTGACCTCCCTCTAGAAGTTAGGCTAAGATGAGAGCCCTTGTTCCTCAGTCTCGACCTACCATTCCAATCCAGTCCCCATCCTTATAACACTTCCTTATAGATGTCCCCCTGGGGCAAGGGGACTCACCGCCCCCACCTAAGAGCCCAGCCTGTGAGACCAGGCTCTGCCAGTGTCCACATGGGGGAGAGCTCATTCTTCAGTCATGCGGTAAGATCCATATTCATTACAGAGAAGAGCAAATGGAGGCCCAATAAGAGGAAATAGCCTTCTTGAGATCATATGGCCATTTAGTAACAGCACAGAGATTAGAACCCAGGTCTAGTAATGCTGAAAGTTCTTGAGGAATCGCCTAACATTTCTGAGTTTGCAGCACTGTTTTCACATCTGCCCTGATTCAGCCCCCACAGAAGCAAACCTTAACCCTGCTACCATCCTTCTGCAGGCCCGTGAGCACCCAGAACTGCTGGTCAGAGGCCTGCAGCGTACACTGGAGAGTCAGCCTGTGGACCCTGTGCACAGCTACCTGTGGCAACTACGGCTTCCAGTCCCGGCGTGTGGAGTGTGTGCATGCCCGCACCAACAAGGCAGTGCCTGAGCACCTGTGCTCCTGGGGACCCCGGCCTGCCAACTGGCAGCGCTGCAACATCACCCCATGTGAAAACAGTATGTTCCAACCCCCAAGAACCTTCTGCAAATTCCCCACAGAGCATCAAGTGCAGAGAGCAGTCCCTGGGACCAACCCTGAGCACAGGGCATGGGGTCAGCTTCCCCAGGGATTGTGAGCTGGTGGTGGAGTTGAGCATTTTCAGTGGGGTGCATAGGTGTGTGCAGAGATGTGTATATAGGCATGACAGGGTATGCCCCAAGGGCTTCCACGATCTCCATCCTGGCCCTGAGAGAGCCAGGTGCTGTTGGTCCAGTGCTGGAGGAAATCAGCCTCCAGTTTCCCTGCAGTCAGTCTGGCTGGTGCCCACAGGGGTTGACACATCAACAACTCTCAGGGGCCAGGCTACTAAACAGAAAGTGCTGTTAACTCTGAAGGCATACAGAATGCCTCCCGCTCAGCCAGCCAGCTCTGCGCCCATCACAGCTCTGCTTCTCACCCGACACGGACCTGCTGACCCCCTCCCTCCCAGCCCCACAGGCATCCCCTGGAACTGTCCAGGACGCCCCAGCCTTGGAATTTGATACTCACTTCACTCCCTCCTCCTCATCCCAATACTGTCATTTGTATTCCAGTTGGGAAGGAGTTTATTTTTTTTCTTCCTCTGAACCCAAATCAGAGGTACTTACCCATGAGAAAGGCGGCAAAGCTTGAGGCAAAGAATAGGAAGTAAAAACCAAATGTAGCTGTGCAGTTTTCTGCCAAACTGGGCCTCACTGAGCAATAAATTCCCAACACTAAGGCAGATGCCATGTAGGCAAAAAGACCACTTCTTTTTACACACTGGGGGATGGATGATCTCTTTGTACTCAGGTAGTGTTAACCCATGTTTGTGTCAGTGGCTCACCATGCTCAGAGAGAACCAATATTCAACGCACATAGTTAAAACTTACCAAACCAAGTCTGCACAATATTTAAGATCATCTAATCTGTGCCAACAGTGAACTAGAACATCCTGGTGCTGTGTTTAAGGCAGAGTGGGTAGAAGGAAGAGAGACTGGAGGGCACATGAAAATAAACCTTCACAGAGAAAGTGTGCCCAAGTGCCTGGGGATGGGGGTATCCGACGCAAGCCTCACTTGCACACTCCTGCAAAGTAGGGGAGAATGCAGTCCTGGGAACCATCTTAAGGAGGAGAGTCATTTACTTAAAATACCAAAACCCAGGGGAAAAGGCAGGTTTGCCTAGGAGGAGAGGTGATCACCTAGGAGATGAGGTAATCCCAAGAAGGAAGAGAAAACAGGCATCTTCAGGGAGTAGAGGGAGCTACAGAAAAGAAGCAAACAAACAGCCCAGGGAGGGGCCCCATCATTCAGACAGACAGACAGCTGCAGGCTGGTGCCACCCCTACTGTTGGCAGCCTTGGGGAGCAGGTGGCTGAACTCTGTCAGAGTGAGGCTGGAGAGCGGTGGCCACGGCAGACCCCAGGATGTACCCCAGTGGCTGAAACCCCCGGCTGCATATCACGCAGGCTGCATTCATTAGTCTCTGTTTCACATCTCTTTTCTGTCCCCTCTCCCCACCCTGTCCTCCTTTCCCAGTGGAGTGCAGAGACACCACCAGGTACTGCGAGAAGGTGAAACAGCTGAAACTCTGCCAACTCAGTCAGTTTAAATCTCGCTGCTGTGGAACTTGTGGCAAAGCGTGAAGACAGGGCATGGGGCAGCACTCTACCCTGGCCACACGAAGGACTCACGCAACCACCTCGGACAGAACCTAAGCTTTCTTCATTTTATTTATTTATTTCCCCCTCCCCACCCCACACACACCCTTCCAGCCTCCTCCACCTCCATCCTCAAGCATGAGGACGTCCGCATGTTTTCTCTTTCAGTTAACTGGAGGACGGGATGTTGGGAAAGGAAAGGACAGATGTCTAAAGGAGGTTGCAGAGCAGGCCAGGCAGACGGGGAGGCTCCCTTGAAGAGCTTCCTCCCTCCCAAACCTGGGTCTCAAAGACCTAGGAAGAGGCAGGCACAGTCCCTGGGGACAGCAGGGAGCCAGAAGGTTTGTAGCCTATTGGTGCAAACATTGGACAAACACCTGTGTCTTTCCTAGAAGTGCACTATCAGAAACACAGGAGTGTGTTGCTGCTTTGTGTCCTCTTCCCTATCTGTCCCTTTAGTCATGGTTAGGACAGATGGGGAGGGGACACCATGCTGAGGCAGAAACTAGCCCAGAACTCAGTTCTTCTAGTGGGGGAGTGCAGAGAGAGAAGAACTCAAATCACCAGTAGGGAGAGGTAAAAAAGCAAACAAAGCAGGCCCTAAGGCACACAACGTTGCAGAAAATGAGGAAGGGAGGGGAGGGAAGGGACAGAAGCAAAAAGGAGCCTGTGCGTGTTCCCCAGTGGGGCAGGGTGAGCAGGGGCTTCCAGGCTGCATGAGGCTCGTGGACCGGCTCTGATCCCATGCATGTGCGCATGCTCAGAGCCCTGCTGCCCACGACAGAGCGCTGCGTGAGAGTCCCCACTCCCCAGGCTATCAGAGTCAACGTTCTGCCTGTGCAGCTGCGGCAAAGCCAGCGAGAGGTGGGTCTGGCCATGCAGTAAGGCCACCCTGGCACCTGTTTATCTCCATCGGAAGTCCTCCAGCCCTGCACTAACTGCTGCTGTGGACCAGGCCATTTTTAGCATGAATGGGCCAGGTTTTCTGCCTTCTAGGACCTTTGCTGCTCCACTGAATGGCCAGGGACTATGGTCAGCTTGTCAACATCAACCTGTTAACTAGTCACTTTGCCAGACAGTATCTGTCAGGCTGTCAGGCTGTAGCAACCTCTTCATTCCAGAGCTGGCCAGGGACTGGGGTGGGACAGTGGGTTTACGCGTGCCCCACCGTACACCCTCCCTCTCCCAGCCTCCACCCCAGCGGTCTGCAGGCCCTCCCACATGTAGTATTTATCTAGCAAGGTGGGGTGGTGGAGGCAGCACCCTGGCAAAACAGCTCACACAGTGCAGCCACGCTCATCAGCTGTGGTGAGGCGGCTGGAGCAAAGTCAAGCAGCAAAATGAAAACTCTGGGACTCTTTGGCGAAATCCTCATTAAGCCAGGTAATTTTTGCCTCCTTCCCTGGAGTGACCTGAGATTAGGAGCAAGGGTGGCCAGAGTCCCTTACCTTCAGATAAGCCTCCCCCTCATGAAATGCCACTCACACTGGGGCTAGCACTGACATCAGGGCTGCATTTTCCAGCCAGCCTGGAAGTAAAATTTGAGAGGAAGACAATATTAATCTGTGTCCCCCCCCACCAGTGAGCTGTGGACAGTTAAGTTGTGTCTCTTTCTTCCTCACCACAAAAATAGGCTCTAAGAAATTATGTTACTAAAAAATCAGTGTAATGTCTGTTTAAAATAAAAGAGAATGTTTTCTATGTCTGTATATCTTTTGTGAATATTTATTAGGATTTCTTGTATAAAAAAGTGCAATATTAATAATTGTACATTGTCATCCAGAAAAAAAACTATTGGGGGGACTTTATTAACTTCCTGCAGTTGTGTTCCTGTAAACTTGGTAGTGATTATTATATTTTTCCTATTTTTAATAGAACCTGGTGTTTAACTCTGGATCCATTCACTGTACAGGATGTGTTGTAAAAACTAACATGGGATGCTGAGGCAGTAAGAGAGAATTCATTTGTGGCGCAATAGTTGTGCACGGAATGATAAAGACAAATTCCATACTACTACTAATGTGGTTAATTATTTCTAGTTCACTAGCGATTGAAAAGCAATGGTCACTATTTACATTTCCTAAAGAACAAGCAAGCATCCTCCAGCTCCATGTTGGGTTGGAGCAGTTGGCAGTGGGTCTCAGTGAGCTGGGAGAGCCTAGGTTTGGGTGGGAAGCAGAGTGCTCCTTGCATGAGATGAATGTACATTTAATGTTTGTTCTGTAAATTGCAACTCAGCAGCACCACAAGACAATGAAGCCTGCTGGCTAATGTGGAAGGAGGCACTTTCTCCTCTAAAACACAAAACTGTATTTGTATTTTTTGTACAGATAATACAGCTTATTTATTTAAATCTTGTCGTCTGAGTCTCTATTAAACTCAGCCTTCCCCTGGTGGTTTATGCAGGGAGCGAGAGAAGTCCCAGTCAATTGGGTGGTTCCCAGCCAGTTATTTGTGTCTGGCTGAAGTGGAAGGATTGCAGTTTTCATCTTTACACAGGAAGTTGGGGCCCACGCCTAGAAGTGCTAGCTCTGTAAATAAACCCAAAGAAGCTGCATTTGTAGATGTACACACATTCAGGCTGAGTGCAACCGAACGAGATGACAGTTATCTCACTGACAGGCCTATGTGGTGGGACGATGGGAGCCACAGTACCTTCAGGAAGTGAAGCGAACAGGGATATCTCTTGGGAGAGATGCAGACTTGGGTGTGGAATTATCCTCACTCATCAGGCTTCCTACCAACAGAGACACACACAGTGGGAGGCAGCTGCATAGTGAAAGTTCGGATGTATGCTATTAATAAAGACTAACACTTATACATCACAACTACATTTAATCTTCACATCAACCCTATGATTATCTCCATTCACTTATGGGAAAATAGCAGCCCAAAGAAGCCCAAGGTCACCCAGCTGGTGGAACTAGGATTCAAAGTCAGGCAATCCTACTCCAGCCAAAGACTCGATTTGACCCACCATGCTGCCTCCCGCCCCGCTGCCTGCAGCTGCTGTGCCACAGCCACCTTTGGCAAGCATGACATTCTTCCCTACTGCTTAAAGGTTGGTGGTTGACAATAACAGGACATTTTACTGAAATTGTCACTTTCTCCTGCCCTAAAGGCACTTCTTTTACCATGATAGCACTTCTAGCTCCCTATTTTTAAAGCATTTTAATAAAAACAGCTACTGTAGGAAGTGTAGGGGGGAAAAAAAGGCACACCTCTAGAGCTCTTCATAAACAGGCCCTAGTGAAAGGGCAGCATGTTGCCAGGCCCAGAAGATGCCCACGCAGAGACTATGGTGAGAGCTGCTACAGAGGACCCATGGCCTGAAAGCCCAGCTCCAGCCGGTTTGCCAGCAGCTCACCCCTCAACATCACAGGCCTGTCAAACAGTGTGAAAATATACCAGAAAGCTCTTCTTGACATTTCAGTTATTTTTTAAGAAGTCGTAGGTTTTGTTTTAAAGAAAAAGTCAATGCTAGAACTATACATATTCACATACCAGCAACCAAACAATGTCTTACAGAGGCCCCACAGCAGGAGGGAGGAGCTGGAAATGCCAGAGCAAAAACCCAGTAAGGCTCAAATGGTGGGAAGGGCTCGAATACAATGTATGGCAATTTTTGCAGCCAAAAGCAGAGTCCTTGCTTAGTCTCAAAGATTTCCAGGAAATCCCTGGTCCCATTAAGATCAAAGTGGTCAACAGTCACTGAAGCTCATTTATGCCTCAGTTTCTTCTTCCTGCAACAACATACCTCATCAGGTAGGGCTGTGTGCCATTAGTTGATTCATGTTGAATTTCTTGAACCCAGGAAGCAAAGGTTGCAGTAAGCCAAGATCACACCACTACACTCCAGCCTGGGTGACAGAGCGAGACTCCATCTCAAAAAAAAAAAAAAAAAGGTTGGGGGGTAGCTGGCTTATCATCAAAGCACTTATTGAATGTTAATTGCTATTATCATCAACATCATCTAAGTTACCTTGGAAGAAACAGGAAGATGAAGGGCAGGGCTGGCAGAATTTTTGCTATTTTACTTTACTTCCCATTATCAGCTTGTAAGACTCTCCCATGTTTCCATTTTTAATTGAGAGGGAAATCAACTGCTCCTCCAAAGCTCAATACTACACAATAGCCAGGCACAGTGGCTCACATCTGTAATCTCAGCATTTTGGAAGGCCAAGACAGGAAGATCCCTTGAGGAGTCTGAGACCAGCCTAGATATGGCGAGACCATATCTCTACAAAAAAAATATTTAATTACCTGGGCATGGTGGCTCACACCCGTAGTCCCCAGCTTCTCAAGAGCCCTGGAGCTCAAGGCTGCAGTGAGCTGTGGCCAGGCTACTGCACTCCATCACGGATGAAAGAGTTAGACCCTACCTAAAAAAAAAAGTACACAAAAGTATAAACAAGAAAGACAAAAGACATCAATGAACCACGTTCTATGTCTTGGAAGAAAACCTATCAGTCCGTGTAGCCAACTCAAAGACTCACCAAAAAACTGACAAAATTCCAGAAATACTACTTCCCAGGAGAAATGTTATAATTCCAATGTACTGCCTAGACTCAACTCAGAACACCCAACGTATACTACTATTTCCTTCAAGTAACTAAAAAGCATGGAGAGATATTCATTCATGAGCAAATATACAAGCAAAAGCTAAAATTAAGGGTATTTCACTTGCAAGTGGTTGAGTTTCTCATAAATAACATGCGGTTATCCCCTCACTTCATCCTGCAAATGAACCCAAAGAAATAGTCCACCTTTATTCATGGTTTTCAGCTAAAATGAGACAAGTTAGATCTCAATCATCTGTTAGCAGGGCTCCCAAAAGAAGTCAAAGCCATCTACTAAGGGTCAAGGAATGGTGGGGTAGAGAAAAGGATGGAGCACTTGGGAAGTAACCTAATGAAAACTGACCTGTTAGGTGAATTAACCCAGGGAAGGATAAATCAGGAAACAAAATAAGGCATAACTCCCCTTTGGTCTTCTCTCTCTGTGTTCCTCATTTTGTTCAGTAAACCAGCTATCACATAAAGACTTCAGGATTCAGATTCAGTCTGCACTGAATGTGAGTTAAATCAGAGAAGGTTATCTACCCACATCACATACTGCCAATTAGGACAATATTGGCATTGATTGATGTAAGACCTTGAAGTAAACAGTAAAGACTTGAATACCCAATGAATTCTACAATCCTCCAAGTTTAACCTCAAATTATTGTCTGCTCCCCACTCACCCAGTTCACTTGGAGATGCTTTTACAAATCAAATGTGTATGAGTTTGTCAGAGACTGTTTTTTGGCCAAACCTCAGCTTATTCGTAGCACCCCAAGATTTTCAACTGTTTTGTTGCCACCCCAAAACTTAAAGGCAGATATTGGTAATCAAGCCTTTGCTAAAAGAACTGGGGTGCTGCCTTGTCAACTAGAGTTTTACAATTTCACTCAGATTCTGTGAAGCACCTCGTCCCAACAGAGCATGTGTCATGCCTCTGATAACACAATATACAGATGTCGCTCACCTCTGTGTTTTCAAAAGGCAAATTCCATCTCCAACCTAGGATTTCCCAGGCTGCCCCTAAAGATGTGGTTCATATATGTGTAAACAGAAATTAAATGTGAGGTTATATGAGTGAGGAAAAAGCAGACGGTCAGGAATGGTTCTCCTGCCGAACATAAATAATGTTTGTTTAAGCAGAATGCTTAGGAGAGCCTGAGAATGGTCAACATTCAGACCAGAAAGCAGAAAGCCTGGGAAAACTGCCTCCCTCTCTGGGACTTCATGATGGCCAGGGTGGCCTTCGTTACAAATCCTGTGAAGCATAGTAGACAAGCTGTGAACAACTTAGTTACCAGGTGAGCAAGTTGAGGAAATGTCTGGTGGTGAAGCCCAGGAGAGTGGTGATAAAGCGTGTCATGGCTTGGTTTTCTTCCCCTAGGCCCCCATCATCATTTTTTAAATAACAGCAGAAGCACCAGGAAATGGCTTGGCTGAGGCTAGTGAAGAATGGGAAAATTGTTCTTTAGTCACCCATCTACAGACAATCCCTGAATTATGATGGTTTGACTTACGGTTTCTCAACTTTACACAATGGTGCAAAAACGAAACACATTCAGTACACTTCTTCTCTGACAATGGGGCTATGTCCAAATAAACTCATCATGAATTTAAAATACTCTAAGTCAGAAACACACTTTTCATTTCTGATATTTTTGACTTATAATGGGTTTATCAAGACAACTTAATTGTTGAGGAACATCTGGGTTCTGTTTCATGGCTGGAAGTCAGCATGTCTCAGTACCAGAGCACAGGGCAGGTGCCAGCTCCGTGGACTCCTGAGCTGAGTTTCTTCAGCCTGCACAGGCCCGTCCCTATTACAGTGAAGAGATTCAAGGTAACCCCATAAAAGCAGGTCCCCAAGACCTGAATCCTATACACCCTTTGCACGATGAGGGTTTGCCTTCGTACTTGGCCAAGAACGAAGCTGGGATGGAAAACAACCAAAGTCCTCATCTAGCCCTGGTGGTCCTCGCCTGACCCTTCCATTACCAGATGATCATCCATCCCTTCTCATCTCATCTCTTTCTTCCTGATTTCTTTTTCCATGACATACCTTTCCTTTTCCTCAGCATTTAACACATTTTGCTAAGCACCAACTCTGGGCTCCAAGGACACAGGGGTGAGAGCCTAGTCCCTGCTGTAAGGGAGCTCACAGTCTAATTGAGAAGCAGACACATCCCACAGCAAATGACAGTGTGTCCTACCACAGTTACGAAGTCCAAGTTCTGGGGAATCTCCAGCTCTTCTCCCTCATTTGGCCCCTTCCATAGCACCAGTGATTGCTCTCTTTAGTCCTAATCTTCTCTCATTGGGGCATTTGCAAAGGTCTCCTAACTGGATTATTTAAATCTACTCTGGTCTCTACCAATCCACCTTCCACACAACAACTAAAACTATTGTTATATTGCCTATAGAACTTCAGTATAAACTGATATCTATGTATAAAATTAACTTAAATCTGTACTCTCGAGGCAGTTAGATAACATTTAAAACACCCAATCATAAATCCACCCTCCAGAAGTACCATTGCAAGTATTTCAAATATTATTATCTAGCTCTGCACTAGAAGTTTCATTAATTATACAAAGTTTATTAGTCACACAGTAGTGAAATATGCCATGTTTGAGGACCAGAGAGAAGAAACAAACATGACTGCCCTTGTATAGATAATGTGAGAATCCAGCTACTATCGTTTGAGTGTGCCCCACTCCACTCCAAAATTCAACTATTGACAATGTGGTGGTATTAAGAGGTGAGGCTTTTAAGAGGCAATAGGTCACCAGGGCTCCTCCTCTCATGAATGGGATTAGGCTCTCTAAAGAGACATCACAGAAGGAGTTCATTTCCTTTCTGCCCTCTACCTTCTGTCATGTGAGGACACAGCGTTCCTCCCTTCTGGAGGACGCAGCATCAAAGACGCCACCTTGGAAGCAGAGAACAGTCCTCACTGGTACCTTGATCTTGAACTTTGCAGCCTCCAGAACTGTGAGAAATAAATTTCTGCTCTTTATAAACTACCCAGTCCGTGGTACCCCTGACAGCACAAATCGACTAAAACACTAGCAAATCCAGTAGCCTGATGATCCAAGTCTACTGTTGTCTTTGGTTCTATGTGCCCAACTCTGTTTGCCTGATCTGAATAGGGAAGTTTTTGGCTAATCTTACTTTATGAACATTCACTTTAGAGTAACTAAGTGTTTATCAGGGTGCCCAGGGTTGGACAATAGGACTTATTCAAGTTCAAGGAGCAGGTTATACAAGTACTTTGGACCAGTTTGCTAGCATTTATGCCCATGCCAGAATTTGGTCTGAGACTTGTTTTCCTTGTAACACACCACCTCAGGTACTGAGACAGTGTAGGTGGAGACACAGCCTCAGCCTCTCATGGATGGGAGCTACCCATCTTCACCATGATAACTTGGGAACTGTTGATCAACAAAAATGGCTTAAACCAGTTCAGTTCACAAAGAGACCTTCCCAAAACACGGTTTGAGTTGTATCAGTCCTCTGGTCCTCGGCTTTAAAATCTTTATACCTTCCCACTGTTGTTAGGACTGAACTCCTTAAAATATCCTGAAGTACCCTACAATAGCCCAGCTCATTTCTGGCCACTTTCTCTGGGTGAATGGCCTCAGTTCCATGAAGTTCCCATTTTCCTTCTGCTCTCCACCTTCTCAAGAGCCATGGAATAGCAACCACCAAACCCACAACCATCCACTCTTGTTAAATCAGGGCAGGGCAAATATGGAGGCTATAAAATGCTTGTTACATAAAGTCTTTAAATATTAACCAATTATACAATTCTTTTCCCCACTGCCTTGCAGCAAAGGCAGAGAGCTGGGCCCCTCCATCTTTGACAGCCTTTAGAGTTGGAGGCTGCCTGAGATCCAGAGTCACCATCAAGGGTACAGAATCCTATCTTCCCAAAGCTACCTCTTCCCCTCACCTCTCCTCCATTTCCCCATGGCACACAACCAGGGCACACTAATTTCAGGGCCAGATCTGGATTTGTGGTGGAAAAATAAAATTATATTATTTATTGTACAATTATGTACAACATCTCTTCTTCTAACTGATCTTTTGCTGAAAAGCTGATCTTTGGAAAAACTGATCTTTTGTTTTGCTGGAAAAACGATGGGTGGGAATACAAAAGAAAGTGACCAAGAAAAGACTAAATTGTATGACATGATAAAGGATGAAGAAATCCTAAGGGACAAGATCTGGCTAATTGGCTAGAGACACCTGGGATGAGGAGACAGAGGAGAAAAAGGAAAAGAAGGGAAAGAACAGGGAGGCAGGTCACATCTCAGCTGATATTCACAACCTCAGGAAGCTATTCCCACTGCCTGAGCTAACTCCTTCTCCCTCCTCCTCCCTTCTCCCTCAAAGCACACAGCACAGTCACTATTACTTATCCAACCCTGGTGCTGGTAACCTGACTTCAGAAAACCCTTCCTTGAGGATGTCAGAAAAGACCCCTTTCTCCCTAAAGACCATGGGACAGAAAAGGGAAACAGAGGAAAGGCTTTCAGAAATCAAGGATGTTGCAATCACTTCTCAGGGACCATGGCAGGAAGCAGAAGTGCAAGGCCTCCTTCACTGCAGGTTCTCCTCAAAGCCCCACAATACCTCAATTCCCAGAAGCAGCCTGTAGTGATCCCACCCTCATCCACCTCCATGGATGGTAGCTCTGTCCTTTCAGTCACTTAAACCCCAAATTATGGCATCATGCTCAGTTCTCTTATTCCCAGCTCACATCCAATCAGCAACTTCATGGGCCCACCTTTGAAACACATGCAGAAAGTGACACTTTTCTC